CGAAGATTGACCCTGTGTCAAAGCTTGAGTACCTGCAATTCCGAAAGCTCAGCCACACCGAGCTACGAGGCAACGAATCAGGCGAACAAGTCCAGGGAGATAAGAAGCTGAACAAGGAGCAGGCCCATGCCTTGGCGGACTCCATGAGCAAGCTCAAATGGACGTTCACTTTGAGCAAGGTGGGTGGCTTGCATGGGGTGGGTCAACTTTTAACAGGTGCGGGTGAACTTTGAACAGGGGTGGGTGGCTTCCATGAGCAACTTCTTAAAAGGATTACATTCTTCATCAGTTTCCTCTCATGGTTTTTCCTCTCATGGTCATGGTGAATTTTATCATGGTCATGGTTTCCTCTCACGGTCTCTCCCTCTCTCTCTCTCTCTCTCTCTCCTTCCTCTCAGGGTTCTCTCAGGGTTCGTAGCCCTACAGTCCTTTGAAGGGAAGCTACATGTTGGTTGCCCTTATGCGCTTCATCGCAAAACATATCAGGCGGACGAGAAACGAATGGATGAGCAGGGCCAAATTCCGGAGTCAGTCAAGAAGCTCGCGGTGAAGGCGAAAGATGCATGCGAGCGTTTGGTCAAAGACGGCTCCAAGCTGGTTGGTGTGCCGGAGTTGTCGGGAGTGAAGGATGCCTACAAGACTTTGAGTCAACACATCACGAACTTGAACCAGCTTCTCATCCTCGGCGAGCTGCCGTCCCAGGCCGCCATCAACCGCAACTCCTTGGAGAACTTTATCGGGGGCATCGCCAAAGATGTGGAAAAGTACCACGGGGAAATCCAAGCTGCAAAAGCTCGGGCAAAGACTGGCAAGGCCAAGTCATGAATCTAACAAGAGTCACCCGTGACCTCAACGAGTTTTTGAGCCCTCTATGAACTTGAACCTCAAGAAGGGCACCTGTGGTTTGGCACTGAGAGGCATGTGACTACCTGAAGGGACCGCTGTTCAATGCTGAAAATTGTGTTTTTGTGCTGTGTACGCTTGAGCTGAAACATTGGAACTGAAGAGCAAAAGAACTCGTATGACTTGTGAACAAAAAGCTATTGTAGAACTGGCAGTTTTTGTCTTCAATACTTAGAACTCGTATCAAGGTAGAACCAA